AATTCAATTTACTGTTAATTAGTTGTCTTGTCGCTTCGCTAATTTTAAAAAACTGCAGTTAATCTTATGTTTACACTGTGTGACTGCAGCAAGTTAGCTACCTCGGGGTTATTCCTTGGACTAATTGAATTTACTGTTAATTAGTTGTCTTGTCGCTTCGCTAATTTTACATTCTTTAACCGTTCAAATTTCTAGTGACATGTCAACCAAGATACAGCTCTCGTGGTGGGATACCCTTTGAATTTCTCATTAGACTTGATTCTGTTCCGCAAACCTTCATAAAGAAGCTTTGCGGCGTCTCTGTTTTAATAGGGTTTTCGTGTGATGATTAGATAATCCCGAATTGATCAAAAAGTAATGTTAAATGATACACGACGGGTATAATGTATATTGACTGGGAAGGAAATTAGATGTTACTCCGGATCATTAACCTAATTCACATTAAACTGAACTCGCCACTCGACACATAAGTGTGAATATTAGCATTTTTGAAATAATGAATTTCGCAATCACTTTCACTTACATATGTGCAGTGAGTAATCGGAATCTGTTCTTTATAGTTCTTGTAGTAATACCATTAATTTGCTCACTACGCAAACTTGAAATAAAATACAGTTGTAAGGACTTGCACTGCACGTCCTTCGAAACACAATTCAATAACGTAGCCGATCATTTTGATAATAACTCCACTAATGATGGGGTAGCATATACGCCCAGTAGAAGTAAGAACTTTTATGGATATTTTTGTTCATATGTCACTTAATAAAGTGGAAGTCTATTTTACCAAACATCTTCAAACTAAAGTCTGTTTGACATTTAAACTTGACAGTGTGGTAGGTTTTATGGTGAGTGCGAATGTGGAAATTCCGTTTCAAGAACTCCGAGACAACTTCCTGAGCCTTAGGTAAACAGAGTATACCAAAAAAGAATACATTATACTGAACTTTCAAAGCATTTTCCTTGCAACTTCACGAATCCATTGTTTGGCAAGTTCGGACTTCATTACCGGAGGTTCTGATATGCGTACTGGTTCTATACTTCCTTTCTTCGAGCTCTAAAAAAACTGATAATGATTTAAATATAAGTTGTTCGGAATGCGTCAAATTCTGTCAAAGTATTCAGCACTTGTATGACATTGAACCGACTGGTAAATTATGGAGTCAAAGTTCTTTCTGGATTAATATTGTATTTCTAACTGCTCAAAACGTATTTCGAGATACAATTTTCAACACAACAACCAAAGATACGATAAAGCGGAATCTAAACTCGTAATAAACGATAAAGTGTGCATATATTGGGCCACTACAACAAGTAATGGTGATAATTTTAAGAATTCAGAAATGCAAATAGTAATAAACGCAGTTGAGATTTATAATTTAGACACATCACTTCTGATTCCCCAGATCTCATTGACTTTCTGACGAAAACATTGCAAAAGTATACAGTTATGATCCAAATGTTGAGATTTTCATACTGCTGTTTTTTTGGCTCTTTTGTTATGTCCAATGAACAAACAACCCGAAACATACATTTGTTATTTGGTCCAGGTTGTCCTTGCTTCTTACAATGCCATCCACTGTTGTGTCTTCGAAAGTCAAAACATGCATTGGTTCCAAAAACGTTACTGTCTCTTCATCTTGATCTACCGTAAATGAGCCTGTTAGGGATGCTGGCGGTCTATACAATTTCTCAACAAATATTTTAATTGTTTCTCGTTGTGCTGAAATTCACAATGAAGCAAAAGTCAACTTTCACAATATCCTCAAAAGATGTGAAATATAACCCCTCAAGATTTTTTTCGAATCTTTAGAAGATAGTGGTCTCGTACTACAGCATTTCCACTTTCTCTTTTTACTAATAGAACAAAGACTAAAATGATTTTCAAAAGATACCTTGTTTGAAAGTACTTTTCTGATTACTTCTTGAAGTGCTTGCTGATATTTGCAATCCTGAAGCGGGCGCTTCTCTACAAAAAAAGTAACTGCCACACATGTCAAGTGACAAAGCACTCATATTTCACGTTTTGATCAAAGAAATGAACAAAGAAAAGGCATCGTCACTATTTCATTTTTCGATCAAAGAAAAGGCATAGCTAGTACAGTGAGAAATGTAAGAAGGAAGCAAAAATAAGACTTACAAATTGACAACAGGGATGGAGGAATGCGAAACAACTTGATCTACTCCTTCGATCAACTCGTCATCCACATTCGTATTTTTTGTGCAGCTCTCAGAGATACCTGCACATACTGTTGATTCGAATGAAGAATTTGACTATATATGTTATACAAAAATAAAATTGAAGTCGCCTAAAGGTCTTCATTTATATATAAAAAATATGAAGTTTTAATCCCAATTACATTGTACAATATTATAAGTCATACTCTCTGTTTTCTTTGTCACATTATCAGTAATTTCAACCATTTTTGTAAAATTAGCGTGTTCAAGCTGTCTGGCCTCTAAACGCTCAACTTCAGCATGCATTTCACGTCTCATTGTCTTCAATGTGACCATCAAACTTTCAATCAGTTTTGCTGTGTTTTCACAATCTTCAGTTCCAATGTCCAGGTAACGCTGGAAAAAATATTTTTGTATAAAATCTAGTCACAATAATAACATCAGTTCATACTGAATACAATAATACTGGACATTATATCTAGCCATATTAACAATTAATTAGATAACCAATTCTCCACCTATGAACTCGGTAATAGAACAAGCTACGACTCTCAATATTTACAAATAGATTCGACAAAATTAAAACGTATCATTCCTTATCTTCGACTAATAAGTTGAGAAATTAAGGTGACATACGTTATAGGTACAATGTTGTGCTTTTTCATTGACTACATCCCAGCCACCTGCTTCTTGGAACTGTTTTAATTTCTTATTGAAAAATTTTTGGATAGCATCCATATATTGATCATCGGTTATCACCTTCGCCATCTTACCAGCTTTTCAAATAAATCGCGACCCAGCAATAAATATCAACGAGAAAAGCGCTTTTAGAACGACATGAAAAAACGCTCTTTTCGTAGCGGTATCTTCTCAGTCCATGCAAAAGTCATCGAATATCATCACCATAGAGAATCACAACAGTGTCCCACTCTGACTTATCGACAAAATCTAACATTTGCTCGAGTCGCTGAAGCGCAATTATAGAGCAATTTCAGATTGTTTATAAACGACTAAATTCCATCTCCATGTAGGACAAAGAGTTGCCCGAAATACTACAACACTACCCGCAATAGATCAGATAAGGAATCGTCCCATCTGCGATTATTATAAGCTTAGGGAGGTTCAGCTGTGAGTTACATACGAGAAACTCAGAGTAAAATTAAAATGAAAGTTATAAGGTCATGCAGTGTGATTACTGAAGTCCTATAGACAAAGAGACAGATAATGCTTTCTACTGGATTTGCGAAGAGCATAAGAAGTTACCCGTCTCCGTGCCAACATCCACACTCCCTCCAAGCAACATGAAAATTCGAAATTCGAATGCGGATAGCTTCATGCGGATAGTCAGATGTCTCGTTCTGAAATTGTGATCCCATCGTTGACGGTACCCACAACACTAGCATAGCTGGACGTTCACTTATAGGGTCCAAAACTGACTGTGACTAAGCGTGTTCCATGTAACCCTTGATCTCGCCGTAAGTCCTCCGTTCGAAACAAAGACTTGTGGACATATTATCAACCCAAAGTGAAACTCAAAGTGTTGGCAAGAACCCCAATATACCACGCATCAAGAAAATGTTTGGGTACGAATGTTACAATGCTGGCTTATTCGGTAATTGGTGGTGACGAGCGTGGAATCCATATGTCAGATGCTTCTAGTCTCGTTAGTTAGAACCCTCTGCATATATCTCTCCCTTCTCTTTTTCTTTTCTACGCACAGTTTAAAAAGAAGACGAAGAATATACTCCTAATTTACAAATTTATTTTCTCCTAGCAACTGTGAATTTGAAAACCAGTTCGCTGCGAGACCCAGCCAACCGTTAGTGTGACGTTGCATTTCGTCCACTTCAGAAATAACGACAACAAATCAAACTACCCACACACTGCGCACGATAGCCATCTTCATTTCTCTCTCTTTCTCTTTGGTGAAGAAGAAGGAAACTGTCAAAATAGATCGAGTTCATGGCAATGAAGTCATTTGTCTTAACAAGTAATTTTTCCTATTTATAACATAACTACCAATTGTATATTATATAGGGGAAGGAATGGATCGTGATGTGATATATGATATGAGTAGCATCTTCATTTAATACTTCTCTTTAATTTCTCCACATGAATTATTTGTACCATCTCTTCCCACCCGGAACTGCTTTTCCCCCCCTCGATCAATTATTTTTGAGATAATTCAGCAGAATCTCAATATTTTCTTTCAAGAAATTAGAAGAGTAGCAACACTTATCAGAAGAACAAGTAGAAAAATTAACTAATACTAAAGAAAAGGAAGAGAGAGGGAAATATAATATTGTATGTGGTTCGGAATATAAATGTTCACTTGGATTATATTGATTCATTGAGTTTTGTTTTAACTGCTGGCGAAACTTAATTAAAGGCAATTTTAGTGTATCCAAGATTCAAAGTACTACTTATTTTTACCTAATTACGATATTTCCGACTCCTTTTCTTATTTAAAATTGGGAAGGAAAATAACATTTCGTATGCCCTATGCATCAAATTACTACGAAGTATTAATTAAAGTTTAGCACCTCGAAATCCAAGACTCATCAGAGTATAATCGACATTGATGATGAACTGGTTTAAAAGGCGAGGTTATTTTTCATTGAATACTTGCTGATAATCTTTACCATTCATAATTGACGTTGTAGTTTTGGTTGGATTATCGCATGCACTCTATGACGGTAATCATGATATAATCCAATTAACAGAATCGAATTTCAATAACAAAGTGTTGAAAAGCGATGAAATATGGATTGTTGAATTTTTTGCGCCGTGGTAAGCTATCAGCTATTATTTGGCATACTTTCCACATATTTTCTTATTTTTTAGTACACCTATCACATATTTTATTTTTGGGGACAACTTGAAATACAGTTTTTTTGCAGGTGTGGTCACTGCCAGAAATTAGTTCCCGAATATATGAAGCTGGCAAATGCCTTGAAAGGTATTTTCAAAGTTGGAGCGGTGGACATGACTCAACATCAGTCAGTGGGTGCTCCCTATAATGTACAAGGCTTCCCTACAATTAAAATATTTGGTGCTAATAAAAAGGTTCCAATGGATTACCAAGGCTAGTTTTCTTTTATATCTCGATTATTTTTTGGTCTGACGCATTTTTTGTTCATAATGTAGATAATTTCCTTTATTTGTCCTTCCATTTTTTTTATCGAATCTTTGAGACTTACTCGTTCATTCAAAACGATGGAACTAATCATTCTCATCACAATGCTTGTTTCACTCTTGACATTTTCAAATATATATGGAAAGAAACCATTTAAAAATCGCAGAAATAAAATTATTAAAGGTCCTCGAACGGCACAGGCGATGGCAGAATCACTAATAAATGAGCTTCGGAAAACAGTAAATGCGAAACTGGGTGTTAGCGATTCAAGCAAGTCGAGTAGTTATAATGATAAGAAAGGCAGTGGTAAACATGTGATTGAATTGACCGACAGCAATTTTGAGGAATTGGTGCTTCACAGTAAGGATATTTGGATTGTGGAATTCTTTGCACCTTGGTGTGGTCATTGTAAAGCTTTGAAACCACATTGGGAAATGGCTGCTTCGGAATTGGCAGGTAAAGTAAAGGTATAAGTTGTTTTTCTTTCATCATGTGCTCTTTTATCATAACACAAATGCTATTTACTAAAATTGGCACGCTCACCTATGTACTTATGGTTATGATTTTCAAAAAAGCCATCTTTAAGCTAACTGTTATCAGATGTTATTGTTTTTGTACCATTTTCATGAAATGATTTTCACGAAATCACTGCATATTCAGGTTGGTGCTTTGGATGCAACGGTGCATCAAGCGATGGCATCGCGTTTTGGTATCAAAGGTTTTCCAACGATCAAATTTTTCGCACCGGGTTCAAGCGCTAGTGACGCCGAAGATTACGTTGGTGGACGAACCAGCGATGATATTGTCCAGTATGCACTTAACAAAGTAAGCGTTTTGCTTTCATGGATTATATATACATGTATTCTGGGTACTGTTGGAGTGTTTAATCTTCAAATTAATCTAAACTTTAGAATTCAAATAAAGATTGCGGTAAAGTGTCGTCTATTCGGCCAGTGAAAGAAAATAATCGAGGACATTATTTTTTTTATTTCCCAGGTAGCTGAAAATATGCCAGAACCAGAAGTTATGGAAGCAGTTTCACAAGAAGTTGTCGATAACGCTTGCAAAGAAAAGCAGCTTTGTATAATTGCTGTGCTGCCGCATATTCTTGATTGCCAAAGTAGCTGTCGAAACGATTACTTAGAGGTACTATATTTTTTAGGCGGGAATATTCGAAAAGTTTTAAAAATGTTTTTGTTGTTCTTGTATTTATATTACCAATGTGCTTATTTTACTTTAGGTTTTGAAAGAATCGGCAAAAAAATTCAAACGAAATATATGGGGTTGGCTATGGACAGAGGCAGGTAAACAAACTGAACTGGAGGAAGCATTTGGCATGGGTGGTTTCGGTTATCCGGCTTTGGCAGCGCTGAGCTATCGTAAAATGAAATTTTCGATGTTAAAAGTTTGTCTTTGGTTCTTCCGAGTACGATATTCCGTCATGAGTTATAATTTCCTGATTTACCACGTCTGTAGCAAGGTTATTTTGAAAATCACTTATTGACTAGCATCATGTGAAAGTTATGCGAAGATGAGTCTTATTGAATTAGAACTGAATAATTCTAGACTTTCAGGGTTCATTTGGTGTCTTCGGAATTCAAGAATTTTTAAGGGATCTTTCTTATGGTAAAGGTCAAACGGCACCGGTGAAAGGTGCAGAACTCCCGAAGATCTTGCTTGTTGAACCATGGAATGGCAAGGATGGCGAGATGCCTGTTGAAGAAGATATCGATGTTTCAGATATTGATTTGGATGAGGAAGAAAAGCCGAAAAAAACTGAACTGTAGGAAAACCTCTCACCTCTTCCCAAATTGCAGTTTCTTTTTATCGTGAGTTATCAAAACGGTGACATGCTTCACACTTATTTCTCTCTCTTTCAGTGGCATATTTATGCATTACGAAATTTTCTTAAAATTTAAAAAACTTGTTCTTTGTAAGAAGTGGATCTTACTGCTAATGTTATTTAAAAAAAAAAACCTTAACCTAGCAGAGATTAGTTTAAACAGCTTTACTTTGAGTAATGTTAGCCTAGAGTGCTGCTTTGTTCTCACGAGCGCGAGTGATGCAATGCGTGTCGATGTTTTACTGTTCTTGACAAAAACATAATATCGAATGCACCTTGCGCATATTGTCAATTTCAGCTGCATTCATAAATTCAGCTGCATCATTAATGCTATACAAATATCTAACTAGCATTATTTTAACTTATAAACTCGAACGATGTTAAATAGGCCGTTGTTACTTTTATTTGTTATTTCTTATGTATGCATCACTTTTTGAAAATTAATTTTTTGGAAATAAAATTACTTGTTTTATTTTTTGTTTTATTATTGTTTCAGCGCTATATATTAGGTATTCATTCACAATAAGCATAACTTATCAGCGCGTTATTACTAAGCAGTGCAAAAAAATGAATTTTCGTGGTCCTACGTCCGTTCCTATCCTTATCGAACCATGAAATTGATATCAAGTATTGAAGTTATGTAGAACAGTCGAATCAATGTTTGCCTATAAGTTTCACGTTAAGATATAGATTTGCAGCACGTAGGACCATTGTATGTACAATACTCGAAATATTCGACGGTATTGATATTACAAATCATTAAGATATTTAACAGCACTGATTTCTCAGTTCACGAGCATAAACACTATCTAGAACTCGCGTCTACTGCGTAGTCATGCGCTGGGATATTAAATCACCTGACGGGGTTGAACAGCCTGAGCGGAAATTAAATTCACTAAGATTTCTGACTGGTAATATATGTTTTCGTCATTAAACATCTTGAAAGAACAGAGGAACAATTTTTGCACAAGCAACTGCTCAGTAATCTTCTAGAGGAAAATACTCATACAATAGGTAGTTACCGTTGAGGAACTCGAGATTATCGAATGCAAAGAGTCGAAATTTGCGTCAAGATATAAGACAAAAAAGCGTATAAAGAAGTAACACTTCAAGTATATCCTAAAAACATTCAATCCATTTATTAGAAACAAACCCTTAGATTTATGTTACCAAATATTTCTTGGCTTCAAATGAAGTTAAAAAGTTCCATGCTTTTCATTAAAGTATGAACCCTGTAAATCAATACCAACAGCAGCTTAAAATTATTCTCTTCACAAATTAGCATTTGAAAAAAAGGCATGTTAAACGCAAAGGGAGCTACGCAAGAACCGAACCATCCTAAATTTTCTTGAAAGAGGATTTAGCATAGCTCAAAATGAATTGCAATGAAAAGAAATACAATAGAGTCAGTACAACGTATGCAATCTACAGAACGTAAAGTTCAATTTATCACTAAGCTTTCAATTCTAAAAGGTAATTCCAAGGGAAACACTATCGCTCAATAACTAAGTTCACTGTATTTGAAGTACTAACTAAACAGGTTGCGAAAGAAAAGAAGATACGTAATCTAAAAAAACATTGTCGTTCGTTTTGAAATTAGCAATTCAGGATCAGTCATATAATAGAGAAGCTTTCATTTCGACGTTTTCAAATTTTGAAGAGAATGTTTAGTTTTTGTTATTTCTGGTCAATTTAACGAAATCAGCAGATACTAAGGAACATGTAACAATGGAGCCCATAAAATGATGCCTGCAAATTCATCTCCGTTTCGAAACGTTCTGCGAAATAGAAATTCTCTGATGTAACCTTCAAAATGTGCCCTACAGGTTCCATTCATTGCAAGAAATTTTGCTTTTGCTTCGTTACAAATATTCTGCAGTAAGAAATTATTGACGCTAAGCTTTTGCCCATTGACTAATTCAAACCTCTCCACATAAGTTTCCGTAATAAAAATAGGATAATCAAGTTGATTTAGTCCGTCGATGTAAGTTCCTTCATCAGAAATCAATACTGTGTCACGCAGAATCCACTGCAATACTTTCTCTTTTAGGCGTTCTGTCGTATAATCTTCAATTGCAATAATTATGCAGTTTTCCGTTTCACGTTCTACCATACCAATCAAATACGGATGCTGTTCACCAATTCTTGTTTTGTACAAAATCAGTCGTCCAATTTCCACCACAATACCTAAAATATTCTAGAAAATAGGGAGATACATACAAGTGATCCAGTTATTGTTTCAATATACCATAACTGGGAATCTATTTATTATTTCAATTAATGAAAAAGTAAGCAATCGCAAAATTACAATCATAGAGTTAAATAGCACCCACAATTAGACATTGCACTGCTGCTCAAAAAAGTGGCACATTCATTTAAACATTTACAAATCAAGTAAAAAAACTTTAGTAGGCTTACCTGGACCACCAATTGGCGTTTGACTTGCTTCAACAAAACCGGACGCAATTTGTCGCATATAATCTGCCCATGCAACAGACATTTCGCTGCTGAAATGAGTGTGAAGACGGATTTCATGCAATTTATAGTTCTGTGCCCATAAATACATAAATTCAATAATATCTGCGATTGACAGATGATGTCCGTGGAATATACTTCCATGTCGGATGGACAGTGATGAACAGTAATTTCGTTTTCTGCCATTTCTTCGTTCTTGCTTTGTGACCACATGCATACACCGCCACTGTAACTTGATAAATTAAGAGATATATATATATATATATATATCAGAATAAATTAAAAGGGAAGTAAAAAAATCAACATCACAATCCTAATTTTTCTTTTTTTTAAATTAAGATATATATCAGAATAAATTAAAAGGGAAGTAAAAAAATCAACACTACAATCCTAATTTTGTATCAATATTGATACCGGAAATGTGCAAAATAATTAAGAAATAAATATGAAAATACAATCTTGAGAAACACTTTAACTACTCCTTATCAAATTACAACGCAAAAATATTTATCAACGTGAAAAGAAAATTTTTCAGCTGTCTGAAAATAACAGAGGTATGGAACTTGAATAGTACTCTTTACTTTATACTTCATGAAAAAAAAAGTAATATGAATTTGGTAATGAAATATGGTATAAAGCTAGCCAGTTTATGGAAACATTCGGAAAATTGTATATTCTATTACCTGCTACGTTCTTATTAAACTCACTCCCTAAGCAGCTTTTTGCACAACTTTAACTACAGTAATTTCACATGATTTTAAATCACTAGAGAGTATAGTATTGATTGTCAACCTCAGTGACAGAATTTAAGGCAATAATTTAAAAGAAGACCGAGCCGTTAGTATCTAATGTCCCATTTGGTGATACCAGTCAGATGTAAAGTGACGGAGTCGTTTGTTTTTGTACGATATTTACTACAGCATATTCATAAAAACAACTTTCAGGAATAAACAAGGGATTTCACAAGAATCTAATTTGAAAAAATTTAAAAACAAGAATCTGATTTGAAAAAATTTAAAACCATATTTACGGCAGGAATAGTATCGAATATTTTATTAAAATTTATATTGGTCTAGTGGGATTCTACTTTTTGCCTGACCTGTAAACCATCCAGTCCGTTTCTGCTCCATAGAAGCATCATTTGTCCACAACGCTTACAGTTCATGGAATTTGAAATTAAGCTATATCGTGCAGCAAATTCAACAGCTACTTCGTTTGGTGAGATCAGTTGTAAGAGCTGGTCATAGGTTAGACCATGTAGCTTCGACAATCTTTCATCCCATGAAATAACTTCCTCAGGTCTCACAATATAATATCGCGATGACATCTTTCCACCTGCAATTCTTCATTTGCATTTTAACGCAATACAAGAAAAAAATAGTAAACTTCGGAGAATTCAGTGATCCGAAAATCTCTTTAAATAATAAAAATGAATTAAATCAATGCTTCCAATAAATTGTGAGATTTTATTCAACAATTTTGCTCCCTTCTGCTTCTTTATGTTCAAGTGATTTCTTATTCAAAAACAAATGGAAAACAAAAAATAAAATGAGACTGCAACAACCGGAAAAATTACTACATAATATTATATATTACCTTCAGCAGTACTTATATCAACCATATTTCACTAAAGATATATTTCAATGACAGGAAGTCTAGAATTCTTGATCAACACATAGGGAAATCCTTAAGTCGTTACCATACACTATCTAAATAAATCTTCATTATTGGATTTGAAACTCACTGATAGATAATTATCACATAAATAATCGAAAGTGAGGTATTATATAAGAGTAAAATGCAAACGCAATAAAATACATTCCCACATGACTGTAACATCCTATTTGCTCGACCAGTGAATAAGTTTAATTGCATAACACCAGTTAATTTGATTCCAGTTGATGAAATGATGTTCAGAAAAAGATAAACTTCGAAGAGCTATGCCGATGCAGTTCTCAGTGTCCGCACAACCTCCGGATTCCCATTTAAAAACCCAAGAATTTCATTTAATCTAAGTAATACAACATTTTGTAGACACAACACGTATTGAAGAATACCAATATTAGGAATCTGAAGTACTGCGAGTAAACTACATCGTTTAGCTTAGTATTATTTGGATTGTTGTGGAAGCAAAAATAAAAATCTGAATAAGTGTCCTTTGTAGTAAAACATCACTTTCTCCCTTATAAGGACCTCCGTTTCAAAGGACAGTCTTTTGGAGAATTCAATAAACACTTTAATAAGGCTGCTCTTCGGATGCTGTTGATGGAACCCTAAGTTATACAAATCCGTGGAAAAGTTTTTACAAATTTATACAAGTCTATGAGAACAGAGGAATAACCTCACTCCTTAAGACTATGTTATTCTCTTTAATTATGTTCCTATTGCAAACATCCCCCACTTCCTTTCGAGAGATAAATCACCAAAAGCTTCATAAATATCAGTAAAGAACAAACAAAAACAATCGATTTCTAGAATTGTTCCTCCTACGAATAATTCACAAGTTACGGAAAAATATGGCTCGGCCGTTAAGGATTTCGTGAAACAAGATGCAGTTTAATTAATGGTGGGCGTGGAGTTGAGGTGATTTTGATTTACGTTTAATAAAAGGTTAGGTTTCGTTAAGTGGAGCAAGTCAGTAGGGTCTACGGTATTTGGAAATGAATAGTATGGGGTGATTGAACAAGATTTACTTTCAGAGCACTTTGTTGAAGTTCTTGTGCTAAAACATAATCTCGAGCAAAAGCTCAACAAGTGGTCAAGATGTCGTATATGCTACCTCATTTAAGTAATGGCTGGCAAGTGGATCAGGCAATATTAGCTGAGGAAGATCGCGTCGTACTTATTCGATTTGGTCATGACTGGGATCCAAGTTGTATGCGAATGGATGAAGTCAGCCTTTATTTCTTTGCATGCTTTTTATCGTATTAAACTTTGCGGTGCAGTAATTGGAATCTATAGTTGCGTATCTCAAAGTCGTAAATAGTGATATGTAGGTTTATAATTTCAGTATTGATTTAAATTCATCTTTTGCCTGAAAATATGCACCGCCACGTAAGTCCATAATGCATGGACGGAAGATCTGTTTGTAACAGTACTACGGTATCATTATTTCCAATTTTCAGTAAATCCAATTTTTGTAGTGTTGTTTGCATAACTTTATTTGTAGACTTTGTATAAAATTGCGAACAAGGTGAAAAATTTTGCTGTAATATATTTGGTAGATACGACGGAGGTGCCTGATTTCAACAAAATGTATGAATTATACGACCCATGCACTGTGATGTTCTTTTTTCGCAACAAACATATTATGGTTGATTTAGGTGGGCTTCATTATTCATAAATACGCGATGAATTAGGGATGGCATACTGCCATTTTTTAATGTATACTGCAACTATCAGTACATCGATTAATGTTTGATTTTAGTACTTCTTGATATACCGATTTCTTTTTAAATACTTAGCAAATCAGCTATTTGACTGGATATCTTTAAACAGTGGTTTCCAACTTTTTTTGACCAGGGATCGCTTTAGCTCTTTATTTGTAGCGACCACAAGATTCGAAAATAATAAATTTCATTGCTTTGAAAATAAGCTTGGATCAAAACCTTTAACGTATTAGTTTTCAAACATTGATAAGGACCGCCTCTTTTTTATTCACAACACCGCTCTCTTTGCGGACCATATTTTAGTTCTTACGGACCAACGGTTGGGAACCACTGCTCATATCATTCATCAAGACAGCAACTTAGTCATGAGGTTTCTTCAAAGGCAGTGGATTCGTCCAGGTGTATGGGAGTATCATTGCCAAAAGTAAGTGATTTGTAATTGATTTACTTTTATTTCAGCCGAAAATTATTGGTTTTAGGCACTGGTAATAACAACAAAATCAACTGGCCCATCACCGATGGACAAGAACTAATCGATATTTTAGAAACGGTTTACAGAGGCGCTCGTAAAGGCCGTGGTCTTGTCGTGTCTCCGAAAGATTATTCGACGAAATATAAATATTGATTAATTTTGAAAACTTGTTATATTTTTTCATTGTATTTTTATTTACATCGATTCCTTTGACGTTTTGGTATTCGTTTCTGTTTTTATGTACTATGGGATTCTGTATCGGAATGCTAGTCGTTTCAAACTAATAACTCCCTCCAAGAAACCTTTTTTTCATTGACAAAAAAAGGTTTCCGGGAGTTTCGGATTAAATTCATGGATTGAAAGTGATTTGGTAAAACATTGTATTTCTTTTTATCCATTGAAATTCTTATGTTTTATTTTTATATACATACACGTGCACACTTCGAGATATTTTGTGAATACCAATATACTACCAAATTTTATAATTACAAGCATTATTAGTAATGAAGATTAAATTGAAGACTTGAACAACAAGTTTTTGTCTCTTGTTTTTGTTTTTTGAGGAGTGCCTAGAAATATATTCATAAAATGTTAGTTTTCAACTTTTGCATAACCTATTTCGTGTTTATCCACACAGCTTTATCAATTTAGTTGTCACACTTTACATGACAATACCGTGAACTTAATGTGGTTTTTAGCAGAAATCAGGATCCCAGGCAATGGCGGACCGTTTAACACAACTGCAAGATTTGGTCAACGAACTGGCCAACTTGATGTGCAACTCAATTGGAGTTTTACGACTTACAGCACCATCATGTGATTTTAATGGAACATCAAAAGTACATTCCGTTGAGTTTTGCGTTAGCAGTTGCTCTAAGTTATGAATATTCCATCTCGTCTGCTATCGTATTGCATTACTGATACCAAGGGATCCATACATTTAACACTTTAAATTCGATATCAAGGTTTTTAATTCACTTTTTAGTCTATCCCTTTGAAATTTTAGTAGTTTCCTTCGATTTTTTCAGATGTGTTCTCTACTAAATTATCTTATTCAGGCATTAGAGGACGAAGAGAATTGTGGTCTTTTCGCTGCAACAATTGCGCATACAGCTAAAGATATTGAGATTTTGATTGATTCTTTGCCAATAGATGAACCGGCAGCAAGTAATTCAGAAATTGACTCATCTTTATTGAACATGGACGAACAGAGGCATCGAGTAAGTTTTTGTCAATCTGCTGATATTTTCGACTTATTAAGGCTCACTCTTATAAGTGGTGGACAGGGGATGAGTTATACATCTGCTGAAATTATTGGTTCAGGAAAAACGGTTTTGGCCATGTGCATTATTTTGGTAAATAAAATTTTTTTTCCATTCCTTTTTTCTATTTGCTTTCGTTTTGGAGGTGGTTGTGAGATTTGCTACAAACAGCAACTTATCGCAATCAGTTATAGGCAGCTCGTGAACTTGAACAAACAGTTACTGATGGTGAAGAACTGATAAAAAAGATACAGAAGGCATTGGCTGAGATTACACGAGTCCAAATGCTGTCACGTCCATTTATTTGACATAACTGTACATTTATAATTTTCCCATTATCTCTGTTATCAAATATGAACTTTTGTTAGGATGAGTTGAGTTTCGATTTCAAATGGTCAAAGAAATACAATAAGCAAGAACACCTTTGTTCAGCATTCATTGTTTCCTTTAGTAAAGCACTTCCATATTGTGCTAGTTGCCTTCGTCTTGGCTTACTTTTATTATATAATAGTTTCAACTTCCATCTTTATCACCGCCTTCTTAAAGGCCAGTTAAGTTTTGTTTTTCTTTCTTATAGACATCACTCGGACATATGTGGGTGTTTCTGAAAATGCCGCGGTATAAAAATCTGTTGATCGGATAATACCAACTGGCAGTGGACAGCTTCAGATAAGTCGATAAAGTTTTGGGGGCAAAAACAGAGCATCAAGAATATGTGAACTCTACATGAACTCGGATTAATGCATGAATTTAATCATATGGAAATGCAGTAGTTGGCATTTTCGGGATACGTTGGTGATACATGGCTGATGGATTAACTGGATAATCTTGGTGATTCGTGTGTGTAGTATATTTCAGTAAGAAAAGTAAAATCCAGAAAAGTAGAATTTTCATTCATTTTACGTTTTCGGAGGGTGTAAAAGTGCTTCATAAAAAGACATGGTGATATGATAAATGCCTGTAGCATGATTACATCAACTATTTCCATTATTAATGATAGTTTTCATTTTGTCAGGTATAACTTCTGGAAATCTTGTATATGCGTTTAAAAGGGTTATGCCTTTATTTAATTTATAGTTAGAATTGTGAAAATCTTGTTATACGTTTAAAATGATTAAGCCTCTATTCAATTTGTGGTTATAATTATGAAAATCTTGTATGTACATTTGAAAGGATTAAGCCTGTATTTGATTTGTAGTTAGAGTTGGCTCTATTATTTTCTGTGTTATGGACTGAAGACCGAACATTAAGCGTTCATAAACGTGAATAGTTCTGTGCTCGAAGTCACTGTGTCGTTTTTATCATCTGCTAAATGGTGTTTATTGTTATTAGAATGTTTCCTGTTTGCAGCCATGTGCGGTGATGATAGTGGATTCATGGTTATGGTATCATTGGTAAGACGTTGTCAAAACAATGTGTGGTAAAACTGCATGTCGCTAAGTCATGATCAACAGTGTGAAGAGACGATAAATTTGTTGATATAGACTTAATGTATAATTGTTGTTTCGATAGCAATGATACAGTGGTTCTGGTGCGGTTTTCGTCGATCTGCTGATATAAACTAATTTCAATTCAACTGGAATTTTCTTTTCATGAGACTTTGAGGACTTGTTGAAGAATATATGTTTAGCGGTTTTCATGAGATGTCTTTCGATCAAAGGAACCTGAGATAGTAATAGATAGCTTGGTGCATAAATCTCCAAACAATTCAGATCGTACTTCATCTTTAGTTTAAATTAATATATGAATATGACACTGTATGATATATAAGAAGTAGTGTACATTTAATGAATGTATAATATTTGTGGTACGAAGCATGCTATTACTTTCAAGTTTTTTCCATGAGGGAAATTTAATTACTCTCTTATCAGTTCAATGCTGAAAAAGCAGCAATTTTTATTGGAAAACAGATCAGTAGATTAGACAGTTCTGGATATAGTCTGTTTACATTGTGGATGGTTCCACGAAAGCTACTGTCGCTGTTTTCACCACAAATTTTCACCATTTTCGTAGCAGTAATTTTCATTAAAAAAAAGCTACGTCGGTTAACGAATCCACTTAGTCAGTAGCTAATTTGTTTTGAATGGAGTGATAATAGGACAAGCTATGAATTTTCAATCTTGTAGTAATAGCATTATTTGCTTCCCCTGAAGATGAAGATTTTGTAATTTAGGATCGGCGTGTTCCTGTATCAAATGAGTATTCTTCAGACAATCAAGGTCAGCCTTCTTAATTTTCCATTACATTTTGTATTATTATATTGTTCTCAAACGCATGGATGAATCTTTGTTTGCAGTTGCAATTTCTTTTTATGGTTAGTTCTTGCCATGGACGGACCTTGGATATGTTTTACTTCCAAAATTATCGAAGTTACTTGAAGTTGTTCAAAGTTTTAGAAATTTCTCACATTACTCTTTTACTTTCCAAAAGTTATATGTTTTTGCTACCTTTTACTCATTACTTGTACATTACTTACGTTTTCAGGTAAAATAGAATATGAAATAGATAAGTAGCATAACTGCGCCATTTTCGATTGTTATTGTGCTTTCATTGAAGCTGAAATCGTTAGCAAGTCATTAAGAGGTGGTGCTGGTTGTGAGAAAGTAGACTCGAAATTATTTGAAATTGAAAGAAATGCATTGTTTATGCAAGTTAAATTTAAATAGCCTATTATAGTAGGAAAATGTTTTTAAGATTTCTATATTTCATATTTTAAGCATGTTGGAGCGTTTAAAAACCTTTTTTCCTTAATTCTCGACTTACTTCATGTTAGCATTGTATTTGCGTATTTTCCGACAAATATTCAAGCACTCAGGAAAGAAGCCATTGCGAAAAAGGGCTCGAAGTATAATATTTACATTCATTGTTAACCTAAAAAGTGCATTTTAGTGTCTTTAAAAACTTATAAAAGCTAAAATTTACTTTCTATCCAACATGATGTAAGAGCTTTTAGGAAAGTTTATAGCACTGAATGTAGAACAGAAATCCAATAATTTGTTATCCAGTTCATAACAAATGTTCAGAATGTTAAATATTGTGATTCGTAAGAAATGCAGTGCCTTGTTTAGCCATTCTTTTATTGTAAACTTTTACTTATGATGCAATAACCTTAAATACATCTGTAATTGGAGAAAAAGAATAATTCCATCTATTTACAAGTATTTCCTCGATTTACAAGTATTTCCTGAATTTGAAACTACTTTTTCTTGTTGCTAAAGGTTGCACACGAATAATTTATTTCAGACCATTAGTGGATGGGTTATTGAAATATTGCAGGGTTTCCTAGAAACAAGCGCATAGAACTTGCAAATATATGCTTGTCGAATTTGTTACACTGAATGCTGGAAATGTAAAATGTCGGTTTGTTTATTAATCCTGGTATGTTACGCTTTTTGGATTTGGCTGAGAAATGCTTTTGGTAGAATTATTGATGGACTTATGGTAATCCAAATGTATAGTGATTGTTTAAGTTACACTAAATAAAAAAATTATTTGAAGTTCATTTCCTGGCATATTGGTCACTGACGAGGTAGAATCCAAGTAAGTTTTAGCGATGTCATTGAATTGTGAGTTCTTTGGAAAATTGCGACTTTAGTTTATTGATATCTTCCCAAATGAGCACTGATTATTTTAATGCTTATGTCGAATTAAAATTCACAAAAAGATGCAGTTTATCGCTTGCGATCTTATCATATAAATTCCTTTCAAATACAAATTTTTCTTATATATTTGTATACACATGATTATAGATTCCCATAATAGGATTTACCTTCATTTTAACATATAAACAAATTCAGGTAGTCAAAGGCGCTCCATTACACATGAATACCTTTAGTGGGGAAATATGTGGTAATTTCTTCTCGTTTGTGTCCGCCCGTTATTTCTAGAAATGAACTGAAATAAATTGACCTCGTCACATTCAATTTCTATTTGTTAATCGATTTGACATATTTATTTACTGATTTCAGTTTATCTCAAGTTCAACAGTCTGCACCGTATTGGTGATATAGACTACCTTTTGATGGAAAGTGATATGCTTTGATATCTCTTATCCCCATTTCATTATCGAGTGGTGTGCGTTTCTAGGTCCCGGATAGTCTTTTTCTTCACAAAGTGAGATTGATTGCGTGGTAGGAAAGATACTGCTGAGAAACAAGACAGAAATTAGTGAAATAATTCAGCTAATGGTTGCTATGTAAGAATGTTTTCTTCGTTTACTTTTTGGCTTTATTTCAAAATTGACTGTTCCATAGATAATTCGCTGGCAGTTTGTAGTTCTATGCTGAGAAGAGTGCAGTCTGATAGGCCTTACTCTGATGTACTTCTTTGCCAGGAACTTTCTCTTTGCTTCTTGTCACATATTTGGAAAGAACTAAATTTCTTAAGTTTGTTCAGCTCACTTGACAGAACTGGCTTTTTAAATTTTTCTTCAGCACTATTAAGTTCATATACATCGTTAGCAGTCATTGGCGGAAAATACGGAAAATAATCGAAGCATCTTTTTTCCTTTCCCTTCTTTCTGAATGAAGTTGACAATCGTCATATGTGCTTTGCACAATATTAGAGTGGCGATGAAGGACAGCAGATTGGACGGAAAAGGAGAAAAGAAAATGTGCGGTGATTAATTAGTGTACTCTTTAGTACATTGACGAGGATAATCTGTTTCAGCAAACTGATCGTATGTTTCATTTCTAGACAAAACTTTTTGGTAAACAACATTATTAATTTAAATGGATTGCTCAATTCTGTGCGTCCTCCCGCACCCCACCCACTTCAAATACCTGTCCTATCTCTTGTCATCGGCGTATCCCACATTTAACAATACACTATCTCCCTTTTTTTGATTCCTAAAGATTATGTTATTTAGTGTAATTAGAAAAGTACAACAATAAGATTTGTGATATATATGACAGTCTGCCATCACGGATGGATAAATCTTTTAAAGGGTTTCCTAAAATCTCTTTACATGAACATGAATGCAACTAATTACGCAAATTAAATATCTAAAGTAAGCTTTTCAAAGACAATTACTTTTAAACAGTTATATAAATAAACCTTTGAATTATGACACGCTATTACTGAAAATGAATTATGCTAAATAACGTGACCGGCTTCTTCTTTCCTTTCTTCCTTTTAGAAGTTTGATAACAGGAAATAATTAGCAAGACCAAAAACAAGGAAGGTAATTTCGTTTCATGTAGGCTTTTCAATGAAAATGAAGCAAAGTGAAGGTGTCGGGCGATGTCACCGTTAAGAAACTAATATGAAATGGAAGTTACATAGGTGTGTATAAATTTACATATAATGTATTTTGTGTGCAAAGTGAGCTGCACGTTATACTTTACAGGACTAACACAGCTTGTTTGCGCCACTGTCTTACGATTTTCTACTTACGGATTTTAATAGGCACACAAGAGACACTGTATATATACGAACTCTCATATGTCATCGTTATACAACATCAGTTTCCAGCTTCCTCATATAAATTGACAGCCATGGTATAACATGGTACGATCGACACAGTAGTTTACATTTTTCTCATGGAACCAAAACGCTTCCGCGAATCGTTGGTAAACTCTGATTCTGATAACTTCAGCTGTTCTCATTTTTGGTCAGTGGCTTCAATCTGCTTCAGTATTTTCTTTCTTGTTAATATTTCCCCGCTTTCAGTTTACCTGGATATCCCTTTCTTGCCTCATATTTTTTATAATCACTCTGAAAAACCATCTAGAAAAAAAATAAATAAATATTCTTTCCTATTCCTTGAATCTAAAAGCAGACGGACATATCCACCTGGAAGATACAATCTTACCTTGCTTGCTCCGCTATTAAGATGCATAATTAGTTTTGTTCAAGCGGATTTATTTTGTGGAAATTGGAGTGATGTCGGTGAAATCTCTGCATTTTTTAAACCTTCATTTAGCGCTAGGCTATTATAAGTAGTTCTCTTGTGGTTTACATTTTTTTAACAAGACTATCAAGTCTTGTAAGTCTGAACGATTTGCAAGATGAATATATCGGTTCAAAAAAACGGGACTCATCCAGTCATGCGGATATTTGCATGATGGAGATGCTTCAAAAAGAAATACCTCATGATGGATGGCACTCTGACAGTAAACTTTGAGCTCAGTACATACGAATTTGTTTTCCGGAAAAAGGATGGAGATCTTTTCGTAATTACCCATATGATTTATCCGTTCATATCATAACGGAGAAGTCATAAAAATTCAAGTAGAATTCTTTTCAGTGCCATTCATTTATTCCTACCAAACACATTGCTTTGTTCGGATTTACGTTATTCAGAATTATTCCTTACACCAAAACGGCACTGCAAATCTTCATTCAACGAATATGAGTTACATCGTGCCTATATTACTACAAAGTCACTTCATTCCTCAGCAAGCGTGATGTTACACGTGTCGCAACAGACAGAAGGGAAGATGAAAGTGTGCTTCCATTAGCGAGAGAGTGAAATTAATGAAGAGGTGGGAATGGATGATTTAACCTGCCTTCCAAATTGAAGAGCTGTACAGAGTGATTTTTGAGCTTCATATCGAGCTGGCGGTAATATTCATTTCATCATTTATCTGTTTGGCACTTCCTATTCCTCTCTTGTCTCGCTCATCTAATCCATTCTTCAACGTTGGAAATTTTCGGAATTAAATGCTTGAGGGGGAATCTATCACTATGTAATTTCAGTAATTTCAGTTTGTGATTCCATGTTAGCAATTTATATAGCGCCGCACGTACTTATTCACAGTGTATTACTTATCCCGCTGTCCGCTCTGCATCTTTTTTCCCCAACCATCTCGGGACTTATCGAATGGTAGGAATAAGGAATATCATTCTTATCATTCAGTTGCATGCCAATCTCTTACATGTATTCCAACCAAAACCGATCAAAACCTTACCGAACCAAAAATGTAGTTATGATCGTTAATTGTCCAGTTGAACAATTCACAGTGCAGAATTTGATGTCGGATTTATAATAGGGAACTTGCGTGAAGTTACTCCAAGCGTGTGTCATTCTCGATCATTTCAAGACGGAACTGCAGAAACTATATTTCCGTTTAGCAGTATCGAAAAATCTCATCTTCGCTAAATAAAATACATCAAAGCAGGATATTCTGAGATTGCTCGAGATCTTATTGGATATCAAGCATATTTGGATTTCATATTTTCAGGGTGTTCCATGTTTTTAAAAGGATTATTTTAAATTTAGAATTTTTGACTCTTAATCAAAAGGTTTATTCTTTAGGTATTTTTGTTCTTTTTTCTTTGTTATTTTTTTTTTTGTTTAAGTATGATCGTTTAATCTTTGCGTTATTGAGTACTGAGTTTTTATTTTTTTCTTTACTTGTTTATTATTGTTTTTTTCTTGAATCTTTATTGTTTTTTATTTTTTGTGTTTTGGAGTTATATCTGGTGTGGTTGGTTTGGTAATTTTTTTTAATGTTAAGGGTTTTGGTATTGATAAGGTTATGTTTTATTTTTCTGATATTAAGTTTGATTTTGGTTTTAGTTGTATTAAGATAGTATTACTTATTTTTAGTTTATTTAATGTGTAATTTTTTGTTCACTGGTAGTTTTTTGTTTGTTTAATTAGTGTTCCAGAATAATCGGCTATACATTTTAATTTTTAACTCTATTTATTGTGATATCTTTTTTTTAATATTTTTTATGTTATTTTTGTAAAATATTTTAATTTTATTTTTTGAAAAAATTTGTTTTAACAAAATTTGTTTGTTGAACTGATGTAGGAGATGACTGATGTTTAGGGGATTACGAGAATTCGCAGAGGTAGTGAGGTAATTCTCAACCCATTCAATTTCATCCCTTACTAATTCTTCCTATCTTCTTATGTTTTTGAAAGGCTTCGAAACATAATGACACGAATTTTGCTGAGAAATTCTGAATTCTATGGATATTTTCCGATCCTTTTATTCTTAGTCATTTTTTGTTGGGATCTCAGCAGAATTCACAAGTTTTAGTGGGAAGATTACGTCATTTAAAGTAAAGGTGAAAGGAGTGAAGGACCACACTGTCGAAGTCAAAAAGGAGTGGGAAGAGTGTTTTAATGATGTGGAGGTAGAAAGATAGGAGTTAAAAAAAAACGCATCATTGAAGTGGGGATGGAAAGAAAGGAGTAGGAAGACTATGCAAAGTTGGCATAAGATACTGAATTTGGTTGAAGAAACTGAAATTCCTGGCTGATTTGAAAAGTTATGAGATATTGCTCTGCATTTCCCATTTAATTTTCCAACTTCCCAGTGTTAGCTTTGAAGGAATTGTGAAGGATCCATTTGATAGATGTGCGTGGATTATATTTATTTATACATATGCTACAAAGGTAAATAGGAACACATGAACTGCTAACAAAACAACAATATATGTAAGATGTAAGCAAATGTGAGGAAGAATCAAGTAATGCACTTTGATACTGGTTAACAATAACGCTTCTTCCATAACTGAATCAAATCAAGTTTTAAAAGTACTGATCGTCATTCATCCATCCATCAGCTCTTCAAATTTACCTTTAGAAATTCTAATAGATTTATGGAACTTGAAATTTTGAATGTGAACGTGACGAACAAAACCGAGTCCATGCATGAAACTGTGTTATGAACTATATTATTTCAGAGGAGAAATCTCAAATTTTTGATACACAATCTATAGATTAAAATATTTTAAAAAATGAAACATGAGCATTGCAGGATTGAGAACAAAAGAAAAAGGACACCGCTGGCAAGACCAAGAAATAAATATGTCACTAGCGCTGCAATATATAATATTCATGCACGAATGTCGCACGATAATTAGCCAAACTATCTGCAGTATAACTGACATAGGCAAGCTAGATATTTTCATTTTCCTATGCTATGAAGTGGCTTTTCATCCCAGACTTTCAGAATTATCTCAATGAGATTATTTGCTCAAATTTTAATAAATTGATGAAAATTATATCTGCAAACAATATGGCTTCAATACATTAACAAAATACTTTAAACTAATAAAGATGAAGGAGGGAATTTAATTCCCAAAAGAAATTGGCCAGGACCAAATTAATTTTGACACCAAGGACTTAGAAAGACTCTACTTTTGAATTGGGCCGAGAGCCGGAAAAATCTGCACGAGCTGTATTGTTCCGAAGGTTAGTAATAAATTTGTCAAAAGTTGATAGAAATATTAAAAATGGTAATTATAAGTCCTACAAATACTGTTGAGATCTATTTATAAATGTATCTATTCCTATCTCTGGGTTTATTTCATTCAAAAAAAATCTGTTTATTTCAAAAAATTCCCAATTTAGCTGGTAATAATTCGTGAACTCAGAGCATGGAAATAAAATTTATCAGGTCTTAGCCTCAGTAAAATAAAGTTGAAATCCAACTGGACCCCATTTTCTGAATGTTAATATTTTCAAAGAGGTGATTTTGTATATTTTTGGAATTATATCGAACATAAGCTCTGAAATTTGTTTGCCATAAAATTATATTATAAAACAAGAATCAATCTTTGGCTGTACAAGATGAAATTTCACGAGTTTTCTTCCGAAGTTTCTTCTTGTAGTTCAAACCGACTGTTGCAGTTATGTCCATAACAGCAACAAAATGTACTCCTGTCAGCGACACATCTGCGTTGTTCGCAGTTATTCATGGATATCTGTAACTTATTATCACTTGCTGAGATTGGCAGAAGCAGTTTTCCATGTTTCCTTTTCTCTTCCATTGATTATAAATTTAGAGCCAACACAGTTGTCCCAACACTAATTCCCTTACTCATTCAATCCTAGAATCCAATTTTTTTCTATGAGGGGATAAGCTATACAACTTTAAAATTAGATAAGAATCTATTTTTTTAAAAAACCTGCTAATTTTTTAAATGAAATATCGAACACTTCTCTTCCCGCCTCTTCCTTTCGGTCATTTAGTTTGGATGTCGAATCAGGCCTCACTCATTCAATCCTAGAATTCATTTTTTCCATGAGGGATAAGCCTATTGCAGAATAAAAAAGTAGAAGCAAACTTACCGCTTGTTGGACCCAGCAATCTTGTACGAGTTCTTCATTCTTCATGTTCCAAACCGCATAGCACCCAACGCGCATATCATCTGATGGTGGTCGGTAACATCGTTTCATCTGCAATTTATCAGCTAACAAGTTTTGCATCTTTGCTGAATTTCATTTGTTATAATATACAGAACAGAATATGCCCTTATAAGGGTGAAAATCAGGAAAACCAACCACAGAGCCTCCGTCGAGCAAACTTTTTCGGCATTTCACATATTCTCGTCCGTGAACATCGAAACTCGTGAGCTGCTGAATGGACGACTGTGTGCGATGTCGACGTAGCAGTCTTCAAATGTTTTACAATTGTGAGCGCATGCAATCACTTTGACGATAATAGGTAGCGAACTATGAAAACAGGGTTCCTTCCTCCCCTCATCCTGGAAATTTGATCAAACAAATCCGACCTGAAGTTTCAAAGATAAGGCTCTCTTTATAAATGTCCTGAATTTAAATTTTAAGTTAGGTTTCCATAGTGATGTATAGTAGAGGTTTCGTGTAGTAGAGGTTTCCATAGTGATCTGACTATCATAACCAAGACGTAAAATGTAAAACATGAATTACGGTATGAAAGGAGATCGGAGATGAAAAACAGGACTTTTGTTAAGCCGCGGGAGAGGAGATGAAAGGAGAGAGAGGCGGTGACAAAAGAGAGTGAGAAAAACCTTGCTAGCCTACCGATGTGTCCTGTGGTGTCGGGTGTTCTGTTTTGCACGCTCCAGGAAACTATCAATCAAATCGGACACATCCAATTCGTCATCATCTACTACCGTATTCCGGCTCAACGACTTCGTCTGTAGTAGATTGGTAGAGCACAGTAGGATAAGTACAAATATTTTGGATAACGTTGATGCTAATGATGCCATTGCAGATTAGTTAATAATAGTACTGCAATAATCACCATAATGATTAACAAAGTACCGGTGGTTGTGATCTGACGAAGGTCACGAAGTTTCAATCAAAACGGTCAAGGGAAGATATAAGAATGAGAAATACCAGGAGAATAGTAATCAGTCATAGGCCCTCCCAGACTGTCGACAACTTTGAAATTCAAAATGAGTTTCGCCCTTTTTATGTGTAATGTAGTGCACTTTAAAGGGCATTTAAAACAGAAATGGAAAAGACGAAGTGCCCCTATGGGTTCAACTCCAAAACTTATCCACCTCCCAGAAAAGAATCCTTTTTCCGCCCTTTTCGCAGAGACCGTTAAAATACAGTTCTTAATCAATTTGTTTATGAATGAATATGCCATTTCTGAACTAATTTGCAATCAATTCATTTCTCCTTGTTTTTACGGTTTCTTTTTTTTTTTCAGGACTTACAGAACTGTTTTTATTCAAACTTTGCCCTAATTTCTATCAGAATACCTCTCGACTATGGCTAACTGTTCTTGTACATTCAAAAGTTCATGTCACATTTCCGATATCCGAAACAAGCTTGTCATTCAGTTAAGTTTGGCATTTATTTGAAACTTTGACTATAAAATGATTGCTGTTGTCAGAGCAAAAGAAAAGATCCACCGAATTTGTCTTCTATCAAGCATACAACTAGCTGAAGAGATATAAGGAATAGAGAGAGTGAAACTGGAACTATCTTAGTACTCTACAAATGTGTTCTTCGGAAAACTGAATTATTTTACTCTCGCAGCATACGGTTACAGAGGAAAGGACAGTTAGGGCCTTAGCTGCGTTCATAACAATCCATTCACATGGACAAAGGTAGTGGGATAAATGCGCGTATAACTGCGCTTTGTTTAAAATAATGCCAATATTGGTCAGGGGAGATGCATGAAGTGAGTTACTGTAGGATAGCTAGGAATTGACAGAGGAGAGATGAATGGAGGAGATGTGGTGGGGTAAGGTGGTGGTATCCATGGAGCACCGGAGGTCAGGCGACAGAATCGCGGAATGGTTAATAACGGACAAACATCATCAAGGAGGGTGGCACTAAGAAGAATCTCTCTTCCATAAACCAGTACGACAGACAAACAGACAGACAGACAATGAACGGGCAGACACACCTCCCACAATGAACTCATAAAAAACAGGGAACAGGCGAAATGAAAGGAGGAGCAACAGGCATCTGGGAGTCGAGCAACGACCGCAGACGGCAACTGTGACGAGGGCGACTTGACGACCCTTCAGAAAAAAGAGCGGCTGACCCCCTCCCAGACATAACAAATCCTACCTTGTCCGGTCGGCCGCCCACTCGCAATAATTTAATAGGTGGAGAGGGAAGGGGAAAACGGAAATGACGAAATTCTTGAAGGTGGCTAGAGGGCTGTCTGAACAGGTGCTGTCGAAAGGAGATGCGGAAGAGGTAGCAATGAGTAAACATCATGGCAGTGTAGAAGGAGACACCCGGAAGGAGACACTCACACCGATTCTGTCGTCCTTTCTCCTAAGGGTGTGAGCATCGAATTGCTTGAAAGACGAAAGCGGTAACCGCTCGAAGGACATGCATGCCATTGTCACCCTCTTCAGTAGAACAGATCAGCTCTCCATGATTGGTGTGTCTGGCTTCAAGCGTCTATTACCTGCCATAAATATGTGCGTCATCCATACCAAGTCAATGAATCATCCCTGTGCCATCTTTTCACCAGATGCCTCCATATACGAGAATTCGGATGAAAAATTACCATCTTTATAATTTCAACATTAGAAATCAGGGACATACCATTTCGAAATTCTACAAATGTCTCCCAAATGATCAATGCAATATGGTTTTCGTCATGAAATCAAGATTATGGGTAGGAAATTCTTAGTTACATCTAAGCTACAACATCATAATCCGAAATTACTACAAAATTTACGACAGATCATCTAAATTAGCCTGTTCTACATTAAACATGATTTGCTCAGAATATATTATTACAACTATTTATCAGTAGACAATGTGTTGAATTCTTTGGAAGAGAATGACGGGGAGATGAGTCTGGTGACGTTTGCAGTAGTTCATTAGAAATGTCTCGGACCAAACTTGGCACAATTCGATGTTGACCTTTAGCTTTGAGAAAATCTTCTGGTTTGTTGGCTATATAGCATAAATGATGAATTGTCCCAGTGAAACTGATAATAATAATTTATGATAGCAGAATAAGCTGGAAGCAAAAGTTTTTTGACGTAGCACAGTAAGTGATGGGTATCTGTACATTAATGGAAATTAGTAGAGTGCTGATAAATATTGGGAAATGAACGCCCAGTTTTCCACGATATGTCTGATGGCAGCATTAGTTGCGATCCTAAAGCGCTACACTTCAGTTTCCGAGTGAGTCCGTTGTTCCAGGTGAGATAACAAGCAATTTCTCTTCAAGGGATTCTATACCTTAAATAATGGAAACTTTCAAATATACGCGAGTTATTGTGAGTGGCCAAATCTCAACCAAGACTGAAAAAATATATGTGAGAGTGATTACATTTCATATGGAATGGAATGGAAAAACTAGTAGTCCACTTTGTAGGATTGTCGATCACAACAGCTTTTATTTCTTGAAATTTTCCAAAATTTAATAGAATGGATGGAGATAGAGAATTGAATTTTGAAGAATGCGGTCAAAGAACTTCCGAAAAATAGCAAGGTAAGCGTCGTCAACATAAAGTACATGTTTCAAGTCTAGACTTCCCACCTACTCCTAGAGTCCCACCTACTTCTACTGACTGCAAAAAAAACATTTGAAGAATTATAAATCATTCGTATATAAACAACTTAAAAAACCTTTTTTGAAAAAAAAAATTTCCATATTAATAAACAAGTTTGGCTAGCAACTTCTCACCCAAATATTGTAAACGGATGGACGAATGTAATGTAGGGAAGTATATGAAATTTACAAAATCGCTGTCATTTTGTTTCCTGGATAATAGGAATAACAGTTCTTTAAAAGGGAATTTATGAATTAAGCAATACAGACAGCTTCCATCAAATTTCTGTAAATATTCATCTACAATTTTCCGCCACATTTGAATTGCGCTGCACTTCATACCATCGCTTCATATCTATATATATATATGGGCGGAAATGAGCTCAGCGAAGCGAATGTACGATCATATTTAGAGCATGCATAAAGTATACTCAGAACCACTGTCCATGAGGACCGTAGGAACGAGACATAACAGGGAAGAATGACTCAAATAGTAAGCATTTTAACAGGTAGAGCTGTTGCGATCCGATCGGTATTCGAAACGTTACTCAGGCCAATATTCATGATGTTCATAATGGAGTAGGAGGAATTTCAGAAAGTACTGAAAGATGAACTAGCAAATTGCTTATTATGCCTTGATCAGGATACAAAGAAAACAAACACTGGAAAGAATTCTTTGTTCCATCTCTTCTGTTTGGGAAAAATTAACAGATGTTCATAGTATACTGCGGAGAAACATAATCTTTTTATGGTGGACGAATTGAAGTCATCACTTTTTCTTTACAGTAAACTAAGTCTAAAGATCTGATTCGAATAGGAATGGGTGGTTTCCAGTACCTCCAAGGTACTGCAGTTGTTGGATTGCTAAGCGGTTTGCGTTGTTCAGGAGTATTGCACTGTATACTTGCATAAGTGGCGAAAAGGGGAGCAAATGCGACATAACCGTTTGTGTACTGACAGGACGAATGGGGAAGGCGAAGACGAATTCCGACATGAGCAAAGTTAACCCACCTGTGGCGTGCTTGCTTTTGCATCGCAATGTTAAATAGAACATATAAACTTGAAGCAAGTACAATCTAAGGGATTGCAATCCGACGTTGTCAAGTGGGTCAACCATAACTTGAGAAAAATATATTCTTAAAGGACTCGGATGATAACCCGGAAAGGGTGGCTGAAACCAAGAATGGCTAAAATTTCAGAACTACTTACTCAGGAAAATCATTCAGCGAAGGAGATATATGGCTTTTTGCAGTTCGATTAACCTCTCTTCTCTTCATCTCTTTATCCGAATCTTTATTGATGCATTCTTAGATCATGTCCACCTGTACCTGCACTGGTCAACAGTTGCACTCATTCAAGTTTTTCAACACAGCATAAACAGCCACACTCCAAGAGCTCGAAAAGCAACTACTGATTGCTGCATGCGAATTGATTATGGTTTGACAGGAGGTATAGCTTAAAAATTTAAAATTCGGACAGAGCTGATTAGCAGTCACTAGATGAAAAAATGTCGTGTTCTGGTGCATGTGCAGATGAAGCATTGTTGCTGAAATGACTTCATTTTAGCGAGGAGTATGCTTCTGCAAAAAAAAAAGAACTGATCCGTTGCCAAGAAGTTCGCAGCCGAAGATTAAGAGAAAATCGGCCTTACGGGAACGCCGCCCACTTCACTTCATTCCACCTTCCGCCGTTCACAGCATTAAACAACAACTCTCTCATATAATGAAATATTTCCGTGAATAAACATTCAGCATCCCTGCAGCAGTTTGTTCTTCACTCTATTCATCCCAAACGTTGACATGTTTTGTATGTAAATGCATGCATGCATGCTTAAGGCAACAATCACTAGACTAGCTGCATGGCCTGCAGCAGAGCGAGACAATGCGTGATGGATGGATGGATGGATGAGTAGATAGAGGGGTGAAGCCGGTGAATGACGCAATATTTTGTTGCTGAGAGTGGGAACAACCGGTTGGTCGGTTGTTTGGCTTAGATGAATGAGAGGTGCTGAAGGGATAACATCGCCAAGGGCAATTAGGAACGCATCAATTCGCATACAGAACAGATGGCACTGTGTTTCGGGCAAGAAAAGGGCATTTCTTGCAAGCATTCCAGTGATATATCTGAATGATGGGAATTGTGTGTGTGCATGTGTACATGTATGTGTGTATGTGTGTGTGTGTGTGTGTGTGTGTGTGTGTGTGTGTGTGTGTGTGTGTGTGTGTGTGTGTGTGTG